GTTCAGTAGGAAAAAGACCTAGAGAAACAGCTAACTGGAAGGAATCAGGCATCCTCATTTGCTATCTTTTGTGGCTATTCACACCATCATATACAATTAGATTAAAAAAGGTACAAGTGGAGGTGTGTCTATGAGAGCACTTGGGCCTCATCAGGTTTTATGTGAGAAAAAAGTATTTACAATAGTTTACAATCACAAAGATATTTTTTCTGGAGGAGCAGATTGGTAGGCCAAAATAAATTATTTTGTAGTAGGTTTCAGTTCTGCATGGTCCCTCCCCCTCATTGGTAGCCATTGGAGAAGCTTACTTGAGAGCATCTAGGCATGTCACAAAAATGGTGCTGGCTTGAAAGCTGCCATGTTTCAGGAGGTTTTGCACATGCTTAGTGTCATTTAAGAAGGAATTTCTATTAAGTTGGCATTGGGGCAGTTGAGCAAGCTGACACAGAGCACTGTGTTGCCTGTCACTAACAGTTGTATTAACTGCTACTACACATATATCCACTGTCTTCCTTAAAGAGCTCAGTCACTCTACAGCTGAGACCTAAGACACCCATGCTGTGGCTAGTTGAAACGTTGTGAAGCTTCAAGCTGCAGGACTGGGGCTGTGACTCTGAGGACTGATCTGATTCGGATTTCAATTTGTTGTAATCTGTAATGATTGTTAATTTTGTTAACCATGTCAGCTACTTCTTGGTTCCATATTACCACTGCAGATTCATTATATTGCAAGTTGCAAAGGTAATAATGAGTGTATCGGCACCCTGCTGCTTTAACCCTGTGTACACTTTGGGCTGAGAGCTAATAGTGAGTAACTGACATTGTTGGAGTCTATCAGTGTCTTGATGCTTTAACCATGAGCACACTGTGTGCTGAAAGCTGATAGAGTAGCTGACATGTTTCATAACAGCAGCAATATTTAATAGAAAGCTAAAGTGCTGATGGCAGGAGCACTACTAAGTTATGCTTAGATGTTGGCTATTCTAGCCTTAAATTTGACATTCTATGTGAATTTTCACTTTAGTACATAACCCTGTGAGCTAAAGTATTCATTTTCTGTGCAGTGTGTCATTGTGTTTTATCTATTTCTTTTCAATAAAAAAAATCTTTATTAGCAAAAAAAGAAAAATAATAATAATAACAACAACCCCTTGCATACTCGTGTTCATTCGAAAGGAAATATTTGACCTACCAAGCTCCACACCAGGAAATACTTTCCTTTAGATTGTCTTCATAGGAACCTTTTGAGTGCCAGAGTAGCTGCTCACTTTATATATATCAACATAAAATATATATAAAAACATATCAACATAGCACTTTCATGTCAGACTAGTAAGCATAATTCATAATCCACCCAAAGGACCTAGGGAGCTGACCTCCTTCACAGTAGTCTGCCTCTAAGGTACAGAGAAAGCCAAACTAATTATCTCTTCAACAAGCTAATAGATATGTTAAATATACAATGACATTTAACAGCTGTCAAGAGGGAATGAATACTTACCTTCCTCGCTAACACCATGCAAGCAAATTGATTTTTCGGAGAATATTCTGTCTAAATGTATTCTTACAAAATTACTTGTAAGAGAACTTCACCTTGTGCCAGCCACTTTGACTTCACTTTGTGTCACCTCTTTTTTAACTAATTTCTTTTTCAAATAATTGAAAAGTAATATAATCTGAATTATCAGTAACATTATGTTAATTACCCTACTTATGACTCTATGTTAATATTAAACAAAAGGAGGTTAGATGATTGTCAACATCAAACCAATGACATGAACATATTCAAACACAACCTTGTTTTTTCAAGTAATAATAAAAAAATATATTTTTTATTAACATATATATAAAATTGTCAGAATACTGAATGATCATCACTCATTGATTAGAGACAGAAATATGTACCCTTAGATTGACCGGAATTAACTGACAAGCCCTAATGAGGCAAGAAGACAGCGTGCTGGTTAAAAGGATAATGTAAACCATGAGATAAGCTAAGGTTCAATACATATATCGAGATATAAAACATTACATGACTAGCTAAGTCAAGGATTCTCCAAAATCAACGTAAACAAGGACTAGGTCATGATCAAACCACAAGTTAAACAAAAATGATTTACATTACTTCAGATTTAGGTGCAATTAGTATTCAGTGAGAAACACATTGTTGTGATAATTTACACAACATAATCTTATTTCTGAATTAAAATATAATCTGTCTCCATTGTTTCTACCTTAAAACAGCTAGAATGTTTGAATAGACGTCAACTAAAATAAATGTCAATATGCCTAGTTTTCACCCAGAATGTGTAAGTCTCTGTTTGGCTTACAATAGAATTTGAACATGTGTAATGACTTTGGCCTGTTTACACTTATCACAACCAATATTGTGACCTTGACCAATACAAGCAGCCATCTTCCACCATTAAAGATGTGTAAGATGCACACTGCATTTTAAGTAAGGATGTGGCACCGCTAGTACTCCAATTGAGGGACCAATCAATCTCTCAAATGGTAGACATTAGAGGGGTACGGCAAAGGACATCATTAGCTTAAACAAAACAAAACACCTTTCAATGTGATAGATCTGATTAAACATGTTCATAGACGAGACCCACTATCTAAGAACAATGTACCTTGTAACAGTGTTTCCTGTTTGAGATGTAATTTTTATATTCTAAAATACATCCTTAGTGGTCTGGTTTTGGAGTCAACATATGTTTTCTGTGAGCAGAATATTTGCTGAATAGTTCACATTACTGTATTGTGCTAACTTGATGCCTTGAATAAAGCTGTTATTTTACAGTATACAAATATAGAAATGTAACTGGATTCCCTGATGGTATATTGTAGCTATATATGGATATATATTATGATATTGGCATTTTGCCTGTCACTAAACAGAAACATGGACATTATGAGAATCAAATCTTGAAGGAGCTTTAGGTAATTATGCCCCCTGTGATGCTGAGTGGGTCTATAATGTACACAGCTACAAACCATATATACAATGTGCCTGTAGTGTTATTGCAGCTGCCATTTTTGTATTATTCAGTATGTGTCAATAATGTCTTCTAGTAGGCCACTATATCATTAGATGAGATGTGATTGTACTGTATCCTAGCAGATACTAAAGGGTTACATCAAACCTTTTTTTTTTTTACAAGTAATTTTTATTTCTTAATATCACATTGGGCACTAGTAGCATGTTCACCCCCCTTTTTAAGTAAAAAAACCACGTAAAATAAAGATGTAATTTATTGATAATCCAGCATCTTTCTTCTCTGTTCTTCTGATGTCAGGCCACATCAATATTTTCCTCTCTGGTGTCCAATCAAATGCTTCTCAGAGAGAAGCATTTGATTGGATTGATCTCCAGGCTCACAGCGCATGTGTGAGTCGAGAAGGGGAGGGAGGTAGCAAGAGGAGGTAGCCAAGAGAGATAGGAACAGAGGGGATTAAAAAAAATTACTGTAACTGTCAATTTAGGGATGCGGGTAGGGAGCACATCAAGGGATGGAGAGGAGATCTAGGCTTCCCCTTGAAGGCACAACATTGTCAGAATTTACTACAAAGGAAGCTGCCATCATTTTTTTAGATCATGTAATAAATATGATCAAAATAATGACAGAGTGTAACCATCACTTTTCAGAACACTTTGATACATATACCCCATTGTTTCATTTATCTGTTTCTCTGTATGTGTTCTATCAATGCAGATTGCCAGGTACAAAAAGGACACAGCTAATAACAGAGATTAAGGGGGAGCTCAGATGGAGGCATCCAGCTGTAGAACAAAAATTCTACATTTATATATTTTGTTAAATATAAAGTTAAGTAAACATAGTATTAAAACTCCCAGTAACAATTTCCATTAAAGGCAACCAATGCAATAGCACAGAGGACCAAAACTGTGGCAGTCCCTCACAATTTGGGAAAATTTGGGAAGTATGCAAAAAGCTTTAATTTTAGATATTGCTAAACCAGGGGATGTTCAGATTTCTCTTCTAATCTGCTGGGAAACATTGGAAAAGTTGATATATTTTTATGACAATTGTGAGCATTTGGAAAGGTAGCAAATGATGAACAGTGTGTTCTCCACTTGACTGACTGTGTAAAGCTGTAGCAACTATGTTTATAGCAATTAGCAATCATGTCTTGAAATATTGTATATCCTTATAAATCCTATAGAACAGATGGGCCGTGCCACACATCTTTCTTGAAGCGTATTTAATACATAGAAGCTTGAATTCTGACTGATTCTAATTCAAGACTTTCACCATTCACACTCCTTAGGGGATTTGATGCTTTCAAGTTCCAAGCCACCAGCCCCAGTAGCAGATGCTCATCGTTATCTTTGGCAATCCATGCCAAGCTAAGAGAGGAATTGGAGTGTGTATAGAAGGTCAGGAACATCTGTGTTGGCAACACTTATTTCATACCCTTTAAGGGAATTCTGCAGCATCTGAACGCAAAGCTCAGCTAAGAATGTTAAGATATTCAGCACGCCGTCTCAATGGGAATTGTCATGGATGAAACATTGAAAATCACCAATAACTTGTGTTTATTTTTTTTCGTGAGATGCCATGTTTTCTTTTAAATGTATATGAAAGGGTTACTCCAAGAACCATAACCACATCAGCGATCTGTGTGTGCAGCAAGCTGTTTACAGCTGTCTAGAATGCAGTGACTGTTGATCTCACTGGACAGTCCCTTCTAGGGCTTCCCATGCACACAGCGGTTTGATTATGCTGTGCATGAGCTGTGCATACAGGAGCCTCCATAGTCATTTTGCCCCATTAGCGGGAAATAAGTCAGGGTACTCTTGGCATGATAGCTACCAAATGGGTACTGTAGTGGGTATGATGGTTGGAGTAACCCTGTAAAGATTTAGCAAATTGCATCATAATCCGATTTAGATAAGACAAGGCAGACAGAAATTAAAAAGAGAAATAGAAAGGTTGTTTAATTTCTCCTTATCTCTGTATGCTTTCTCTATGTTGACTGTCAGGCAAGGGTGTAACTAGGAATCACATGTCCCTGGAGCAAGAATCAAAGAAGGGCCCCATTATCCCCCTCCTTTCTCCCCCTTTAGTAATATACCTAAATGGGATGTGTGGCTGGCTGAGTGTGATTGTGTGGTGTTTTCTGACTGTGATTCTGTGTGGGGCTTGGCTGAGTACTATTGTGTTGGTTGGCTGAGTGTGATTTACATATGATGTTTGACTGCATGTGAAGTGATTGGCCTTGAGTGTGAGAGTGTGAGAAAGTGAGAAATGCTTGCTGGGAGAGTAACACCGTGACAGGGAGCAAGGGAACAACCTGTCACTCAATCTATGGCATTAGACCCTGTGTGCCTGTGTTTATTGTTGAGCATTTAATTGACAGGTGACACACACACACACACACGTGTATATATAAACACACACATATCTACATATTACTTCAAAACATAAAATTGAGCAAAACAATTTTTGAACTAATAATTTTCATTCTTTTAAGCATACTCACACTGATCCATATACCTACTCATGCTCGCACACTTTGTTTAACACACACACTCTTATTCACAGACACACATTCTCACTGACAGACACACACTGTCACTGATACACATACAATGACATACACTCACTGACACACACACTCATTGACACACACACACTCACTGATAGCCACACACACTATCACTGATACTGACACGCATTGACATACTCTCACTGACAAACACACACTCACTGACAGACACACAATCACAATGATACTGACACACATATACTCACACACATTCAAATTCTCTCACATAGACTCATAAAGTACTGTTATTTATTTGGGGCCTTTTAACTTTTTGGAGGCCCACCCAACTCCCTACCTTTAGGAGAGCTGGAGTGGATCATCTCCCTGGGGTCAAGTGGGGCTTTTCTGATCTTTGTGCTCATCCTGTACTGCTCCCAAATTCAACCTCTAGTGATGTTGAGGGTGGAGTGATGCCACATCTCGACTCCCTGCAACTTTGTCGAGATGTGTCCTTGTGCACAAGGGATCTATATTAGAAATGTACAAAAATCAGAGCTACCTCGCTGCCAACTTCCATCCCTCCTCACACTGTATATTCATCTGGTTAGGCAGGTGTCTGCTCTTCCTTAGCGCAGAGCCGCTTGCCTCATGGGATGCTATAAAGTGGACAGGCGCAGCACAGGGGGCAGGCTTCTGTCACTGGGGCCAGGTGCTAATAACAATGACTGACAGGGAGTTAACATGGAGACAGTCAGTTGCAGGTAAGTTATACATTTAATTTTATTTCTTACCTTGAGTTCACTGAGCACAGGTCTGCAGTGCGCAGCTAGCTCAGTGGCAGAAAGCCCCAAATGATTGTTCTAAGCTAGGCTTAGCTTAGGCAGATAGCTTCTGGCTGGCAAAGAGGCAGAGAGCAGCACTTAGTAGACACCAGGTAGGAAGTTAAACCAGTGCCAAACGCCAAGACACTCCGAGCACCATAACTGCTTAAGTGGTTATGGTACTTGGATTGTTCCTTTAAGTTTCTGTTTCTCAAGAAAACAATACACCATTGAAATATAATTAGATACTCCCTTTCCTGCGCACTTTGATTTTTATGCACCTGTAGTGATTATTTAAGCAGTCATTTTTCATTGTAAAGTGACATTAAGATAATTATGTTGTCTAAAACTTGCTTGTGATTAAAGTCTTTTTTTATATATGATTTGCTACTAAATAGAAATGCTAACAAATTACATCTGTTTATCTTTATGTTAATTATCTGAATTTGCCTCTTGCTCTGTAATTAATAACTTTCAATCACACGCTTTAAATTGGATAGTTAGGTGTTTTACACAAACAAAAAAAAAAACAGCAAAAAGCAAACAAAAATACATAATTGCTTAGAAATTTATGCATAAAAGCACCAGCCATAAATCATTACCTCCTAGTTTATAGTATTAGGAAATGTACCTTAACAAGTGTATTTGCAATGCTCATCTGAGCAATGCTCTCTTCCTCTCTTCTCCTTCTCTTCTTCTCCCTCTACTCGCTCAGTATCAACATTACTTCTCCCCTCACTTACCTCAACCTCCCAGCATCCTTCACATACCCCTCACTGCTACATTCCACCCTTCTGTCATATCTTGCTCTGTACTCTCTCATACTCCCAAATGATCTCCTCCTAGACCCAATCCATGCAAAACCCACACTCAGCTTTTCTATTGTCTCTAGTTTGGCTTCTTGCTTCTAGTGAAGCCTCTCTTGGTATTGGTCGCCTACTGTTCTCAATCAATACTGCCCTTGGTAAACGCATCAACTCCTTTGACTTCCAATATCCCTTCTACACTGGTGACATGCAAATCTGTCTGTCCTCTCCTGATTTCTCGCTCTCCCTCTTTATTTGTGTCTCTGACTGCCTCGCTGCTATTTCTAACAGGATGGACGCTCACTTCCTTAAACTTAGCCTGTCCAAAACAGAGCTTCTTTTCTGTCCTCCGTTAAGCATGCCTACTCCCGTATTTGTCTTCCTCCAAGTCAATGGTACTACAATCAGCTCTACCATGCAGGCTCGCTGCCCAGGTGTTCTCATTGACTCCAACCTTTACTTCATCCCTTATGTCCAGACAATCGCCAAATACTGCCTCTTCTATTTTAAAAACATAACTCGCATTGGCCCCTATTTAATGCTGTGCAGGTGCTTTTCCAGGCTATTGTCCTCTCTTGCCATGACTACTGCAATCTGATTCTCATCACAGTCTATAATAAATGTGGTGGTGAGGCTCATCTTCCTGTCCACCCGCACCTTTCACACCTCTCTCCTCTGTCAGTCCCTACCCTGACTTCCTGTAAGATATAGGGCTCAATTTAACATTCTGGTGCTTGCTTATAAATCTCACATATATAACACTGCTCCTACTTACCTATCCTCACTAATACACAAGGATGTCCCATTATGGCCCCTTTGCTCTTCCATAGACCTACGTCAATACCCTGTTTTCTCAAGCTGCACGTTTACTCTGGAACTCCCTTCCGTGCTCCATTAGACTATAATTCAGTCTCCATTTCTTCAAAAAAATCTTTGAAAACTCACTTCCTCAGGAAAGCATATCAATTAAACTGTTAATAGCATTAGCTCTATCTCTACACACCTTGGTAACCCATCTTGCTTCATTTCCTGCAAATGTGTCATCCAAAAAACTAAGCCTTCGTTGGAAACTAGTCTACCAATGTTTCCCATACATTAAATATATCTTACCCTTACCTCTTGTGCCATTTTACAACTTCCTGTAGAATACAAGATTGTTTCCCTCAACATCCTCTGTTCCTGTGCACCCAACTCATTTTATTACAAATACTTGTCTGTTAGTCCACCTATTGTGTATCGCTGCGGAATGTGTTAGTGCTTTATAAATATAAATAATAATTAAGGAGTTCTCAAGAGAATATATATATATATATATATATGAAATGCCTAAAATAAGTAAAAGGCAAACTGTCCCAAAAGTGGGACATTACAGAGTGCAACAAATATGTTGTGAGACAAGAGTGGAAACCCATCTAAAAATCTATCTATCTATCTATCTTTTTTTTTTTTTTTTTTTTTTGTAATGAGTAAAACTTGTTGCAAGAACTTCAGACTTCTTAAGGCCAGTTTGGAAAAATCCCCTATTCAGGGCCCAACTTTTATAGCATATGTTTGTATCAGGAGTATTGTAAGCACCGTACTCATCAGTTTATTAACTAAAATGTGATTTGTGGTGAACTGAGAATAAATTGCAAAATTCATATACAACATTCAGAATGTATAATAATTCATGCCTTGAGTTTTTCCTCTGTTGTTGTGTTTCTCACATTTAATTATAGCCATGCATGCATACATAAATATGATGTATTTTAGTATGCTATAAAAAAATATTTTTGGTGTGGTAATGCTGCACATCAAGAGGTCTATCTAATCCACATTAGAGATACCATCATTGCACTAAAATCTAACCATTTTAATCCTCTCAGAATTACTTACTACTGGTTTGCAAATTGATCTTGAATAATATATTGACCCATCAGCAAAGTGTGTGCAGCTGACAGTGCTATAGTGATCTCAGTAGAAACAAACCCTTTTGCAAGATACATTTAATACCTGAATCATAACCTCACCTGTTAATGTTCCCCTATTTAGCAAGCAGAAACATGAAGACTTCTTCTAAATTTCACTTCAGTTTCCTAAAGGAAATGTGTATCCTCACATGAAAAAAGTAACCCTGCCCTCTATAAAAGGAAAAGTGATGGATGCTCAATGTTTGTGTATATACATTAAGCAGAATTCCCTCTTCAGTGTTTATAGTATCTATCAGAATGCCGAATATCCACTTTGAAATCTTGGTTTTGCTCTGTAATGTAAACCACATGTATAAGACATATGGTATGAGTAGAACTTGACTTTAAACTATAAAATTAAGATGCAATGCAATCTTTATCCCTTGAAAGGACAAGAAAAGAGATTTCAAGACTATCAGGAGAAACGTCTGCATTTAGAAACATAGAATGTGACAGCAGATAAGAACCAGATAAAACCGTTGCATTGATCTGTTACCAGATTTTTGCAAACAAAGATTTAGTGGGGAAAAAATCTAAATTCACCATTACTGCTCAAAAAGTCTCTATTAGAAAGCTTTGGTTGGGAAACTGAACATAGACATGTGTATGCATGCACATATGTATGAAAATATGTGTGTATGAAAAATTGTGATTTAAGTGTGTTGTTGTTGAAATATTTGTTCATTGCAGCAATTTATTGCCCTCTCCATTGTAAACAATGAGGATTTTTATAGAGCTGTTATAATGTAGTGCTAT